AATGATGCTTATAACGGCTCTCAAACACTTAATCCATTTTATTTTAAACACTATAGTTTACGGCATATTGCTTGTTATTTAAATGGTCAACAGTACCCGCATAAACCGTATACACCTGACTTTCAAAATGATAAATATATTAGAGAATACTTTAGTTTATTTGAAGTTAGTAATCAGCTGAGCCATACTACTTGTGACATTACAAAAGATGAATTTGCCGAAGGTTTTTCAATATTTGCATTTAATTTCATACCTGACCTATCAGATGGCGTTGCAAAAAGTGGTTATGTATCTCCATTACAAAGAGGTGGACTTAGAATTGAATTAAAATTTAATTACCCTTTAGCCGAACAAATAACTGCTTTAATATATTGTGAATACGATAGTTTAATTGAAATACAGAAAAACCGATTTGCTGTTAAAGACTTTTCATGAATACATTAGAAATAAATAAATATTTTCGTAGCTGTATCAAGTATTATGGCACCTATCCTAGAGATGAATTACCTAATACTATACCTAATAACAGTGGATTAATTGTAAATACAGATAAAGCTAATCAACCAGGAGAACATTGGGTTGCAATATATAAATATAATAACAGTGTAGTTTATTTTGATTCATTTGGCTTACCCCCACTACACAAAGAAATCATAAACTTTATAAAAGACAACAGTAGTAGTGGTTGGTTCTATAACACTATTAATTTTCAAAGTGTATACTCAACTACATGTGGAAAATATTGTGTATTTTTTCTATCAAATTATTTCAATGGCGCGAACTTTGATAACTTTTGTAAAATATTTACTTTCAGTAGTGATATTAATGATAAGTTGGCAGATATGTTATACAGATGGCAGCTGTAGCTTATCACATTTGTATAAAGATATACGTCAGTATAGAGTGGTTTATAAACAAATGGAGAAACTATATGACGAAAAACTATTGATAGTTTTGAGTGACGCAAATCTACACGCGCCATATTTGGTTGAACCGTCAACATATTTTTCAAAGGAAATTAAAAAATACTTTATAGAAGAAGGCAAGCAATTAAATGATATAAAAGACTTGGAAGAGTTGCTAAAATTGCTAAACTACTTAAACTTTAGTAATTTTCGTACGGAAAGACATAATTTTTTAGTAAGTAATGGAAAAAATTAATCAAATATGCGGTGTTATGGATGCACAGGGTTTCACTGTTGATGGCGTGTTTTATCCGCGGGAAGTATGTGTGTTATCACATACACTTAAACAGTGTGAACTGTGTGACACAGACCTTCGCTTTGTTGATATGGACCTTAAAGACCGTATAACTAATTTATATTTGGCTAACAATCTGTTTGGCTTTTCATTGAGAGCCCACAACACCGATATCACTCACAACTCATCTCTCGAACCTAATCAAGTGATATATATGATGTATCATAAAATTAAATCACACGATAAACCATATTTGGCCATAAAAAACCAACAATTGGCAATTATATTGGACTTATGGAAAATACCGTATATTAATCTCAATGAATACAAATGTCCCAACTATTCAAAACTTAAACAATTTTATGGTGGTCTCCCGTGTCATTTTCACAATAGAATTGTTCCCGATCGAAAACTCCTGCGCTGCGCTTCAAATAAATGCAATTTATTATGGAAATGGCTAAATAATTATTATCAATCACATTAATTTTTTTATTCAATAAATTTATTTATGTAATTACAATATTGTCTTTAATTAATTTAGTATAAGTATATATAATTAAATTATTTTTACAGTATTTATTCAATGGAGGTCCAAACATTGATACAGTAATTGTTTTGTCGGGGTAAGTCTCAGCTTTAAGTACCAATAAATCAAATAATCGTTGATTAAACCCGTATTCCATTAAAACGTATGTGGTTATATTTGGTTTCATTATTAGCGGCTTTAGATATTTGTCAACATTTAAATATATGTTTATACTTGTGTTGAGTATAACGGTTTCACAAATATCCATCATTTTTGTCTTAAATATATTTATACAAAACGGCTCTAGCATTCTGTGAGCAATAAATAATTTAAATTTTCTAACATAAAGACATTTGAATCCTGAGTTGACAAAATCAAACGGTGACAAGAAGTGTCCTTTTATGAAAAGCATTTTCAATGAGTACCGAACCATCTTATAATCGTCATACATCTCAATATTGTGTGATGAATTTAATGTAAACTGAATTTTATTTGGTGTAGTAGGCATAACATTGTACAGTTCTATGGCGTTGTAAAAGTCGACAAAATTCAATCTTAAATTAGTGATATTTTGATTATTTATAATTGACTTCCAATTTCCTTGACATAACTTTTGATCCACACTGAGAACTTTTAGTTGAGGTAGAGTCGCCAAATGGTTACATACAGTATTTCTATCAACTGATCCACCTACGTGTAATTCAATGGCTTTAGAACCGAATTTATTAATAAACTCAATAAACTGATTCATATTCTTGAAATTAATTGTGTTCATATAACGTATAGCTTTTATCCGTTCTGGAAAGTTTTGACGAAGTATCCCCCGAACATTCTCTATTGCTAAGCATTGAACGGCCGTATAAATATTAATTTGCTTCAAATGACGAAACGAATTAAAAAACGTCTCATTAAATCGATAAAACACATCAAATTCCAATAGTTTGATTTGCTTAAAATCTTGTGATACTTTTTGTAATGATTCTCGATAACCATCTGACCAAAGACTTATACTATTGTGGTCTACATCCCATTCATCATCAAACTCAGCAATTCTGAGTGTTTGTTGATTTGTAAATATCATTCGTTGCCATTGTTTACTAACAGTAAGTAAAGTAACTTTACTTTTTGCAGGTAAGTGTTTTATTATTAGTCCACACAAGTCGTCACCATAACGATCAAAACTATCGCGACCATACACTTTAGTCATTTTAAAGCAACTAAACACTTACTTGAAAAACACATTTGCTTTTATGACAGTGAAACTCAATAAAATAAACATTGATGAAATTTAAATCTCTTTATTTAATTATTAGTATACATTTTAAATATTTCATCATTAAGTATAATTATATTTTTGATCTCATATGACGTCAAACTAACACTAGCATATGTTAAGAGGCATTTTACAACAATAATGTTGTAAAAACCTTTATCATCTTTCTTGAACTTAATAGTCCTATCAATATCTCCAATGTCTTCAATATTGCCATCAATCCCTTTTGCTTTAATATCTTCAATTAGATGACGAAACTCGTCCACATTTAAGTTAACACCGCGTTTCGTATATTGTAATTTCTCATCTTCATTAGCAAAAGCCAGTCGTATATCCACACGCATTTGGTCTTCTGATTTACTCAATCGAATAACTTTTTTGAAATTAGATTTTTTATTTGTAATAATATGAGTGTAAACGTGCTCATAGTTAAAAACTCTTTTAGGCGTATCAACAATACTTGTAGACATTTTGATTGTTATTTGTATTGCTTTTGACTTTTACTTTTACAGTCTTATATATAATGCTACTTATATACTGTTATTTATTTTTAACTACTATATAAGACTAATTAATGTTGATGTAGTATATCTCTCATCAAGTATAATAGTACTATAATGAGCACTAAAATAATTCCCGGTTGTGATGGCTACGCTAAAGTCATTAAATTAGTTGCTGTTAAAAATAAAAATAGTGTAATACAATTAATTAAAATAACTCAGCATAGCCCTAGTTATAGACCATTATTGAGTGTTTGTCTAAAATTAGATCAATATTTATGGCTCGTGGGAAAACTAAAACAACGAAATAGTGGTTATCGTAATGAGAAAAATAATGAGCTATACATCACTAGAGACCCATATTTAAAACTGACAATACTTTATCAAAAACAACTGAAAATAGCTGCAATGATACTAACTAGAATGGATATTAAACACATAATTAAATTAAAACCTTGGATATGGAATAAATTTGTAGCTATTGAGTCAACGATTACACCTATTCAGGAAATAGTACCTGAAGAGTCAATGGACTTGGAATCAGAACCAATCACTATTGAGTTAACATAATAAATGCATATATCATTGTATTTATAACCAATAAAAATAAGTTTTAATTACATCAACATTTATTTACTTTGTATATAAATACAGTAGTTAACTTTTATTTTACCATTGAAAATGTCTCACACAGAAGTTTCTGGTTTTTTTCTAACTCTTAGTACTACTAATAATTTCAAAAGAGTAGTATCAGTAAAATGTGTTTTACATTTGAATTCAACACTTTTTTATATTATCATAACCGACCTAAAAGATGGTAAAATGTTTGATGATCTGCTGGTAATTCAATCCGACGACTTTTTTAATCTTATACGAGAAATTGTGTTTAAAGAGAAAAAAGTTGGTACCGTCAATGTGTCCTTTGGCTCACTTCAATTTGTTACAGACAATCACAACAATAGTGTATCAATTTTTCACCGCAACTACAGCAAAAATAATTTGGTGAATTTGCGATATAAAGAGCTGGAACTACTGTTTAACGAAAAAGACAATATTCTTAAACAAATTGACGACATCGCGGATAAAACATCAAAATTTGTCAATCATCAGCAAAATACACGATCGCTTCTTCCAACGCCACCTGGAATTAAAACTAAAAGCTATTTCGATGAAGTGTGGTCTTGGCCTGAAATTCCGGTTTCAACCAGCACAGGTATTGCGTCTACAGAAAACACTGGGAATGACGTATGTGGTATTCACCCTATGCCCATCAAACGTCCAACAAGTTTACCTCTTAGCAGTAGTCTTAATATTCTTATGAATAAAAATGTTAACAAATAATGATTTACAAATTACTAATGTATCTATGACTGCTAATTTGTTTAATTTTAATAAAGTATTGAATTTACGAAAAATTACAAATTGTTTGAATAATTGTGTGTATGATAATAAAAAATTTGTTCGCTTAATTGTGCGCTTAAGAAAACCAAAGGCAACAATTATGTTATATCAATCGGGAAAATTAATATGTATTGGGACTAATTCAGTTGATAACGGTAGAATAGCCATAAGAAGATTTGCGCGTATGATTCAAAAGCTCGGTTTTGATGTCCAACTAAACAATGTTACGGTAACTAATATGGTGGCTACTTTTGCACTTAACCGATCAATAAATCTGGCGGACTATGGATCATTTATTGGTATTCGGGCCTATTATCAACCTCAGAGGTTTCCATTATTGATCATTAACTACGGTGACAAGAAAAAAGCAAACATCTCCCGTACGGGTAAAGTTAATTTTACTGGTGTTAAATCATTATCTGAATTGAATGATTTATTTTATACATTTTATTTAGATTATTTAATTTATTAGTTTTTAAAAAATGTAAAATTTATTTATTTTTTGCATGTAAACAAACAAGTGTTTAGATGTAAACAAACCATTGAATAGATGTAAACAATCAAGTGTTTAGATGTAAACAAACCATTGAATAGATGTAAACAAACCAATGTTTACATGTAAACAAACCAATGGTTACATGTAAACAAACCATTGTATAAATGTAAATAAACCAATGTTTACATTATTTATTTATATGAAATCCTAATTGTATATTAAATTATTTATTAAATTATTTGAAATTTAATAAACTGAATTTAAATAAAATTAAATTCAACAAAATTAAATACAACTAAATTAAAATCAACAAAATTAAATTCAACGAAATTAAATACAACTAAATTAAAATCAACAAAATTAAATTCAACGAAATTAAATACAACTAAATTAAATTTAATTTAGTTGTATTTAATTAAATTTAATTCAATTATCGCGCGATGGTTATACCACGTGGTTATCGAAATGGTCACGTGGTACGTTAGATATTTTAAAAGGGGGGCGAAAAATTTTACGTTTTTTATGTAAGTACCCGAAATAGGGGGCGAAAATTTTTGGGTCGTAATTTATGTGAGTACCCGCGATAGGGGGCAAAAAATATTGCAACGTTTTATGTGTGAGACCCATTGAATTAATGGACGTCATTTATGCGCAGTACCATGTACATGTAAAGGTCAAGGGTCCAAAGGTCAATCAGCACCTTTATCTACTACTAGCAATTGTTAGTAATTTGTTTAAAATTTAATGATAATTTTTTCAATTTTTATTTAATTTTCATAATTTTTGATTAAAATCAGTATTTAATATCAACTCCATTACTGTTTCATTAAACAAAAACAAAAATTATTAAAATATAAAAAACACGTGTTTTGTTTTGATCATACATTTGAAATCACATGAAACCAGAAATAGGATATCATTTTATATATGATTTTTGTGTTAAACCTTTTTTAAAACCTGTTTTGTTATTATATTATTATTATTATTATTATTAAAATTATTTATTAATACTTTATTTTAAGGGTATCTATAAATTAAATATACAATAATTTTACAATTGACACTTTATCATTGAAATGTATAAACAATTTTATTATTATTTTTAAATAAATAATTAATTAATTTGATAAATGTTTTTAATTAAGTAATATTAAATAATTTAGAAAATATTTAGAAAAATGTTTGTTTTTTTTGAGTTAATTATGCTATAATTTATAAGATTTTTAAGCAAAAAAAAATCATGAATTTTTATGTTATAAAAGCGATTTTTGTACAGAAAAAGTGCATTTTATTTACAAAATAATTATAAATAGTTAAATAAATAATTAAATATAAGATTATTGTATTATTTTCTTTATATTTTATATATATTTTATTGTTTTAAATTATATTTTTCTCATTATAATAATAGTAAATTAAATTAAATATAATAAAAAAAATATTTCTATGTTTTAGTATTATATTATGTATTTAATTATTAATGCTTTTGTAGAAACATATTTCTACATAAAATTAATTACTTAAATGTAATTTTATTATTTGAAAATTTATTAGTCTATTTTTTACAATTTTTTTAAAAATTTTTTTATTGAAATATTCTATAATGAAAACTTGATTTTTTTAAATATTATTATTTTGTAATATTTCTATAAAAATAATAATTTTAAGTATAAAAAATATATTGTATATACAGTACAGTACATAATAATTGTCATATCATTAGCTGTTTTAGTATTATATTATGTATAATAATTATTAATGCTTTTATTATTAGAAAATTTATTAGTTTATGTTTTTAATAAAATTTTTTAAATTTTTTTTTATTGAAATATTCTATAATAAAAACTTGATTTAAAAAAATAATATTATTATTTTGTAATATTTCTATAAAAATAATAATTTTAAGTATAAAAAATATATTGTATATACAGTCATATAATATTAATTGTCATATCATTAGCTGATACAGCAATTATTTTTCCAACAAATAAAACACTAAAAAATTCAATATTAAAGTAATAAACATAACTTAGTATATAAACTATGTTACACAGTGTAACTATACCTTTAAAAAATAAAATTGAAACCAAGGGTGCATTAGTGGGGAGTAAGGGTGTGTTGGGTGGGAGCGGGTTGGGTAGGAATAAACTGGAAACATAAAATATAATTTAAACTTAGCTAATTATTAATAATAATAATAATAATAATAATAATAATAATAACAATATGCACAATATGTCTGTATTGATACAATTATTTTTTTTATTGATTATATACGATATATATGGGACAACAATAATAAGTCTACTACTAATAAGGTTATGTGGTCTACAAATTTTTTGCACAATTTTATTAACAAAAATATTATTAGTCTACCTCCCGGTCCTTATTTTTTTCCCCATTAATACCATTGATAAATAAAAAACTAACTAACAGCGTATTATACAGTATAAATAAATATATATATATATATAATATTATATAATAATATAATATATATATAATACATGACCAATTTGGCCATACAGTGCTAAAAGAATTAATATAAGTAAAGTAAACCATTTTTTTTAATAATAAATATAGATTTTAATTATTATTATTAATTTTTTCTATTATTGAATTTTATTTTATTTTTTTAATTAAAATTATTTTATTATTTTAACTTTGATAAACAACGCAAATAATAATAATAATGCATTTTCTAGTAATTATATTTTTACTAAATATTTTATGGTAGTTTTTAAAAATAAAAAAAAACATAATATATAATAGTTTTAAAATTTCTATAACATATAAAGTACATTTTATTTTACTGGATTATACAAAGTCATAATTAAATACTATGTATTTTTCCTATTTTATATATATAATATATGTATAATGTTAATAACATGTTTTTTATAAATTTTTTTTATTAATCTACGTTTTTTGAATTTTTTTACTAACTTTTTTACAAATATCATATCATGATAAGTTGGTTTTTTTTTAAAAAAAAATAATACTATGTATTTTTCCTATTTTATATATATATATAATATATGTATAATGTTAATAACATGTTTTTTTATATATTTTATTTATTAATCTACGTTTTTTGAATTTTTTTACTAACTTTTTTACAAATATCATATCATGATAAATTGGTTTTTTAAAAAAAAAATAATACTATGTATATAATATATGTATAATGTTAATAACATGTTTTTTGTCTTGCAATGCCATTGTTTAAAAAATACAAATAAATTTCTATTGAAATTTATACAAAAAAAAAAGAAAATTTCTAGAAACTTTCTATTTGATCATCTATTTGCCTCAAATACATTGAAACTATGGGTGCATATTTTTTGGGGGGAGGGGTGGGGGAGCGAGTGTAAGAGACTTTAAGCCGGTTACTTTAGAAAAAATTTTTATTAATGACTATTATTTTTTAATAAATTTAATATCTAATAAACAATATATAAGTATTTAAAGTATTTATAAAATTTTAATAATAATCAAGTATTATTAAAAACAACTTTCATAATAATAATAAAAAAAAAATTTATCAAAAAAATTATTTTAAACTTAATACAGTGTTAATAATAATATACACAATAAATATGTCTGTATTGAGACAATTATTTTTATTGATTTTTATATCAGATATATGGACAACAATTATAAGTCTACTAATTGGTTATTTGGTCTACTATTTGGCAAAATTTTATTACCAATATTATAGTCTACCTTCCGGTCCATTTCCATTACCATTGATCGGCAATTTATTAGGTTTTAGTAAAAATAATATTTTTCACTTATTATTATTTTAATCTAAATTTAAAAAAAAAATTTATTTGATCTATTTGTCAATTTTTTGTTGCTGTTTTGTTTAAAAACAAAAATTGTTAGATTTTAAAACTAAACATCATTGGGATTATACTATGAGAAAATTGGCCAAAAAATATGGTCCAATATTTACCGTATATTTGGGAAACAGTCCGCAAATAGTGATCACCGATCCGGTCATAGCTAGAGATGTATTCAATAAATCAGATTTTGCGGGAAGGACTCAATCATATTTAGGTATTAATAATAATTACTACTAATTACTACTAATTAATATTAATTACTACTAATTACTACTAATTACTACTAATTACTACTAATTACTACTAATTAATATTAATTAATATTAATTACTACTAATTACTACTAATTACTACTAATTAATATTAATTACTACTAATTAATTAATAATAATTAATTAATAATAAATATTTAAATTTAGTTAGTATAATAGGTGATGGTGTCATAATGGCTGATTGCGGACCCAATTGGCAAACGCGTAGACTTGTTGCGCACGCGGCAGTTAAGTACGTGTTTATTAATTTTTTCGTATAGTTTTTTAAATTTCTCTTAAATAACATAACTTTTATAAAACATATATTATTTTTAAAAATAAATTATCAGAAAATATTCAAACAATGAACGATTGGTTAACGTAGTCGTCGATTGTGTCGATAAAACAGTGGAAACAATGTTGAAAACTATTGGTCCAAACAAACCCATTGAACCATCAAATTATATATATCTAACATTTTTAAATATTATGGCTAATAGTGCTTTCAATGAAAAGTATGAAAAATATTTTTATTAACTTAATAATTAGTTGTTTTATCAATTTAAAAAATATGTTAGTTATAATATAGATAATCCAGAATTTAAAAAATTCAAATACGTTTTGAATGATATGTTAACTGAATCGGGAATTCAATTATTTTTCTGGGAATATCCAAAACTAATTCAATGGATTTACTATAAAATGTTTCGTAACTTAACTAAACATTTCGATGAAATTCATGAACTAATGATTAAAAAACTAAAAAATCATTATAAAGATTACGATCCGAGTATTGAACGAGATTTTTGCGATACACTGATTGCGGCTAAAAATAATGCACTGCTCCGGGAGGTGGGAGGGAAAGGTAGCAAACAATCGTTGGCTAAGTATCTAACGGATGATAAGCTCGGTTTGGCTGTGTTTGATATATTTTTTGCCGGAATCGATACATCATATAATACATTTCAATGGCTACTATTGTTTTTATCCAATGATTTAATAGTACAGAAAAAATTACGTAAAGAAATTTCAGATAAAATTGGTGATCGATTGCCAACACTTGACGATAGACATCGATGTCATTATGTAATGGCATTCATATCGGAAACATTAAGATTTAGAAATATTGGTCCAATAGGTTTGCCTCATAAGACTATAGTCGACAGTAAAATAGGTTTTTATTGTTTTATTTTTAAAAATTAACAAATTTTTTAATATAGTATATTTTTTAAATCTATATATATATATATATATATTTTAGGTGAATATATGATACCGAAAAATATGTCAGTTTGTGTCTATCAGGGATTTGTATTGAGAAACGACAGCAACAAGTATTGGACAAATCCTAATGACTTCATACCCGAGCGCTTCCTCGACAGTGACAACAATTATATGATAACCCGTTCACAACAACCGGCTTTCATACCCTTTGGTGTCGGACGTCGTATATGTTTAGGCGAAAAGATGGCCATCGCTGAACTGTTTCTAGTTTTGACCCGATTTCTACAGTCGACACAAAACTATGACATAGTTTTGGACAGTCATCAGGGTTTTGATGCCGATCCTTGTAATACCGATTCAATTAGTCCCAGTAGTTATACAATTATGTTTAAATCTAAATCATAATTACTGTATAATTACTATACAATTTATAGTATAAATAATTTTTTTAAATAGATTTTTTTTTATATTATTATATTTATTATTATTATTACTAAAAAAAAAATTCAACTAATTGATAGATATTTCAAGTCATATAAAACAAGTAAAAGGTTATCAATTTATTTATGATTATAGTGTTAAACCCTTTAAAAAACCTGTTTATTATTATTAGTATTATTAACATTATTTATTAATATCTGTATTTAAAGGGTATATTGTAAAACATTTTAATGTTTATATAGTTTACCTATATAATATATATATATATATATATATAATTTAAATATAAAATAATTGTTAATAACTATAATATATAAATATAAGAAAAAACTTTTCTAACAAAATTATTGTTAATATTATTATTTTTAAAAATAAATATTTTTTACAAATATATATATATAATTTCGAAACTTTAAAATATATTAATAGATATTGAATATAATGTTAATATACTTATAAATAATGTAATGAATTAATTAAATTTATAATTATAATGACTTTATTATGGCAACTGTTTTATATCGCAATGAATTGATATCAAATTTATAATGTATTTGATTTTTTTATATTATTATTATTTGATTTTATTTTTTTTTGATGATTTTTAAGTGAATAATAATTTGCAAATAATTTATTACAACATTTAAACATTATATTGTTTTAAGTGAACTCTAGACTTATGTTGATTTAAATCTTTTAAATTTCTAGTAAAACATTTGTCACAATCGCTGTAATCGCAAACATATTTAATATTTAAATGTTTAGCTTTTTTATGACAAAACAAAATTGTGACTGAGTTTTCATGAATTTATTACAATTATTACATTTGTAAATATTTTTCAGTTGAATGAATCAATTGGATGATTAGTTAAACGCTGTTTTGTTATAGTATTGAACCGACATTTGGGCCAAAAAGCACGTGAATCGCGTGTTATTATTATTATCCACACGTGTGTTGTTGTTGTTGTCATAACAGTCACTATAATCAGTGATTTTCATAGAAATGTAATCATTTGTAATAATATTTACTTCATCAACGGTTTCCAACAATTGTTATTGTTATCCATACGATATATACAGTATATATATCAATAGATATTGATTAAAATGTTATATAAAAACATTTTTAATATTTTTTTCTAATCAATCAATGAAGTTATGGCTAAAATGATTATATATATATACTGATGTACAATATATTGTACTAATGATTTACTTACAAATATATGATGTGTTTAAAAAAAAAAGTTAAGGATTATCTGTCAAAACATAATAATAAAATAAAGTATCACTATATCTAATATATAGTAAATATCTAAAACTGTATTTTCTACTAATTTTAAAAAAAAATAAATAAATATCGACAGTTAAGTTAATATACAAAACCGATCACAAATAAATAACAATAATTTTTTTTAAGCAATTGATAAAACATATTATTGTTCAAATGGTATAAACATTTTGTTTTATTTTTAAATAAATAATTAATTTGATTAATGTATTTAATTAAGTAATATCTAAATGATAATAAATTTTGGATATAACTAATTAGTTTACTAAAAAAAACTAAAAAAAAACATTACAAAATAAAACAATTTATTTTAATATTAATAATTTAATCAATGATATTGTATTTTTTTAATTATTTTTTTTATTATAAATACTTAATTTTTTTATATCGATGTTTTATTTTATTAAAAAAAATTATAATCAAAATATAATTTTATATAAATTATTCTTATTATTGAATAGACAATAAAAACAACATTTATTTTCTAGTATTTATCTATTTATATATTTGTTTTATTTTTGTTATTATTATTTTTATTGTTTTGACTAATAATATTATTATTAAAAATAATTTTTTTTGTATTAGCATTATTATTATTTTAAAAGTAAATATATATATATATATATAAATTAATCTATTATTTTATGAAAAATTTTCTAATATTAGTTATAGTATAGTAGTTATTCATATAACTACTAATTTTTTCAACAAAAAAAACTAAAGTTATAATCATTTAAATTACAATAAATGTATTTTATATACTATTATATACTTCTAAAGTATATATTATTATAATTATAAGCGCTGTTTATTATTATTAAAATTAATGTATTTTTTATTAGCAAAATAAACCTATTTGTTGATATAATTTATTAATTTATACTTAGTTTTTATCTATATATATTAATAAATATATATACTGTTTATACAATAGGACCAATAAATTAAATTAAAATATTAGTTTAGTATATATATATATATATATATAATTGTCAGATCATCAGCTGATATAGCAGTTATTTAATTAAATTCATAAATAAATTATGATTATTATATCATTTTATTTTTATGATTAATATAATTAATAATTAATATATATATATATATATATTTCTAACAAAAAATTTGTGACTATCATATTTTTTTATATCTAATATAGAATATATTATTTTTTTTATAAAAATATAAATATATATATATAATTGTTATATTAATGATTATTATTATTAATATATAGAAATTGAAAATATTTTTGTTAAATAAAATTTTTGAATTAAATAAATATATTAGAAATAAATAAATTAAAATATTAATTTAGTTTTTTTATTTTTTGATAAATAATACTTGTATTTATTGATGACTATGACATATTGAAAATTTTTGATTTATTCAATATTATAAATGATTATGTTGTTTTTTATATTAATACAATATATGTATATATTATATGTTTTAAAAAAAGTATTTAAAGTAAAAATTTCTAAGTAATCATAAATTTAACATTTTTTTAAAAAAAATAATAAATAGTTTTATTTATTTATTTTTATTCTTTAGTATTAGTAAATTATTTTATTACTTGTGATGTTGGAAACACTTACTATAAAAAAAGAAAAAATAATTTTAAAAAAATACATTAAATAATTTTCATATTTTCAAAAACTTTAATACTATTAATACTAACATAAAATATGTCTGTATTGAGACAATTATATTCATTGATTATATCAGATATATGGACAACAATAACAAGTCTACTAATTGGTTATTTGGTCTACTATTTGGCAAAATTTTATTACCAATACTATAGTCTACCTCCCGGTCCATTCCCATTACCATTGATCGGCAATTATTTAAGTTTGTATAATAATAAACTATTTGAATTAAATATTATTATTATTATTTTATTTTTTTTAAATTCTAAAGCATTTATTTATTTATTTATTTATTTTTTGTTGAAAAAACTTATAGATTTTAGAAGTAAACATCATTGGGATTATATTATGAGAAAATTGGCCAAAAAATATGGTCCAATATTTACCGTATATTTGGGAAACAGTCCACAAATTATTGTTACCGATCCGGTCATAGCTAGAGATGTATTCAATAAATTAGATTTTACGGGAAGGACTCAAGAAACATTTTTAGGTATAATAATAATAATAATAATAATAATAATAATAATAATAATAATAATTATTATTATTATTATTATTATTATTAATTAATTATTATTATTTTTATTATTATTATTATTATTATTATTATTAGTAATTAATTATTTTTATTATTATTATTATTATTATTATTATTAATAATAATTAATTACTATTATTATTATTATTATTATTATTTTCTTAGTATAGTTGTTTTTTATTTTAAAATAAATTATTAATATATAATTTATTTAAAATTTATTATTATATTATTCTATTAGTATTTTAATAATTTATTATTTAATAATATTATTATAATAATTGGTAATTTGATAAAAACAAAACTAATTAACAAAACAAAACTAATTAAATATATATATGTTTAGTTAGATTAATAGGTGATGGTGTCATAATGGCTGATTACGGACCCAATTGGGAAACGCGTAGAAATGTTGTGCACGCGGCCGCTAAGTATGAGTGTCTATTAATTTTAATATATTGATTTAATTATTATTGTATTTTTTAATAATAACAAAACTTTTGTAAAATATCTATTTTAATAATAATAATAAATATTCAAAAAAATTAGAAAATATTCAAACAATGAACGATTGGTTAACGTAGTCGTCGATTGTGTCGATAAAACAGTGGAAACAATGTTGAAAACTATTGGTCCAAACAAACCAATAAAACCATCAGATTATATATATCTAACATTTTTAAACATTATGGCTAATAGTGCTTTCAATGAAAAGTATTTATTATTTTTAAAATATATATATATATTTGTTAATAATTTATTATTATTAAAATTTAATTAATTATTTATATATTTTTTTAATTTAAAATACCACAGTTATAATATCCATGATCAAGAATTTCAATTAATCAAACATGTATTTAAAGATATATTAATCGAAACGGGAATATCATTATTTTTCTGGGAATATTCCAAACTAATGAAATGTTTAAACTATAAATTGATTGATAAAATTGTAGAAAATTTCCATAAAATTCGCGAACTAATGATTGAAAAACTAAAAAATCATTATTTGGATTACGATCCGTGTATTGAACGTGATTTTTGCGATACACTGATTGCGGCTAAAAATAATGCACTGCTCCGGGATGTGGGACAGGGAGAGGGAGTGGGAGATAGCAAACAATCTGTGGCTAAGTATCTAACGGATGATAAGATCGGTTTGACTGTATTTGATATGTTAATCGCCGGTACGGATACATCCTATAATACATTTCAATGGATGCTATTGTTTTTAGCCAATGATCTAATGGTACAGAAAAAATTACGTAAAGAAATTTCCGATAAAATCGGTGACCGATTGCCAACACTTGACGATAGACAACGATTGCATTATGTAATGGCATTCATATCGGAATCACTAAGATTTAGAAATGTTTCTCCACTAGGATTGGTTCATAAGGCTATAGTCGGCAGTAAAATAGGTTTTTATTTTTATTTTTTAAAAAAACAACTATTTTTTTAACCGTAAAGTATTTTTTTACAATATATATGTATATATATATTTTAGGTGATTATATTATACCGAAAAATGTGAAAGTATCTGTCTATCAGGGATTTATATTGAGAAACGATAGCAACAAGTATTGGACAAATCCTAATGACTTTATACCCGAGCGCTTCCTCGACAGTGACAACCATTATATGATAAACCGTTTACAACAAACAGCTTACATACCTTTCGGTGTCGGACGTCGTGTATGTTTAGGCGAAAAGTTGGCCATCGCTGACCTGTTCCTAGTTTTGACCCGATTTCTACAGTCGACACAAAACTATGACATTGTTTTGGACAGTTATCAGGGTTTTGATGCCGATCCTAATAATGGCGATTCAATTAGTCCCAGTAGTTATACAATTATGTTTAAATCATAAATCATAATTTCTATACAATTAAATTATTTGTATTTTTATTGGTAAAAAAATACCAATGAATATCATTGAATACACATGTGTTTATTAAAATATATATTATATTAGTCTAAACTGAAAAATAAACTTTTATTTTTGAAACTAGCCGTTTATATAGTTATGTTATTAATATAACTGTTAAATAATTTTTTTTAAACTTTTTAAATAAATGTATATTATTAGCAATTAAATCATATTTGTATACATATTAAGTAATGCAATAGAAATATGAAAATTATTAGCAAAAAAAAATAAATGTTTTCTAATGAAACTTTTTGTCTCAATTTAGAAATTATTTTTAAAATATTTTTTAAAATTAATTTTTAGACGTAAATTAAAAATTAATTGGCTATTGAATAGACAGTAGATTTTAAATAAAATATAAAACATTAGATTAAAATAAATTATAAAAATTATTATTAATTATTAAAATTTTATTGTATATTATTGTATTATTATATTTATATTGAAATTATATATTTTTTTATAAAATAATTGATAAAAAATGTTATCAATTGATATTTACTACATAAAAAAATTTAATTTATTTTTTTAAAAATTTACTCGAAAAATATAAGCTAATAAAAATATTTATAAAAATATTAATATAAATGTTATAAAACTATAGCTAAATTATGTTTTTTTACAGTTTTTTAAAATGACTTTTTTAATCTTTATTTTAACTAAAATTGATTTTATTGTATATTTAAACAAAAAACAATAACAAAATTAATAATTATTTTATTTATTATTTCATACATATATATATATTTAATTATATAGTAAATAGATTTACAATATATATATATATAAAATTAAAATGTTTTTTTAAATATAAATTTAATTTTCAAATGTCTTAAATAAAAATTAAATAATAATTTATTAAAATTAAATGTTTTAAATTTCTAATGTAAAATATTATTGTTATAAACATTTTCATTATACAGTGTTATTGTTATTAAATTATATTATAAATACAACAATAAAATCGTAAATTTTTTTTCAAATTAGTAATTAATAATAATAATAGTAAAAAAAAGTATAAAAATGTTTGTCATCGTATGATCTATAAAAATTATAAATAACAATAATTATTAATATTTTAAAACTATAGCTAAATTATTTTATTACAGCTTTAATAATATTTATATAATTTTATACTAAAAAAATAAATTAATAATATTGTAATTCACTATAATTTATTTTTAAATAATTGTTTCATTATATATAATATATTAAATAAAGTTATGACTACTATTTTCTATTGTATTATATATTTATATTATATAAAAATTATTAATACTATAAAACTATAACTATATTATGTTATTAGAGTTTTTTTTAATAATAATTTTATATTTTGTAATTATTTTGTTATTATATTATATATATCATTTATTAGATAATGATTTATAATTATACAATATATTGTTAATTATAAAATAATATTAAGTTTTTAAAAAAATGTATTTTGTTGTAGTTGTTTAAATTACATTACAAAATGAGTTAATATAGTTAATATAGAAATTAATTATAAAATTTTAAAAAAAAATTATAATATTAACAGTTTATAATTATTTATATTATTACAAATAATACAAATTGATTTTATTTTTTATATTAGTAAAATAAAATATATATATATAATTATCATTAATTTATTAATAGAGTATTTTATAAACAATATATATTTTAAAAATATTAAATTCACGTGTATTCTGTAATTGTTTTATAATAAAATTATTAAAACTAAAATTATACCTAAATTATGTTATTACAGTTTTTTTTTTTAAATTATTTTATGTTTAATATCTATTTTAATTTAGTATAATTTTTTAGAAATAGTTTTGTAATATTTTACCTAAAAAAAATAATTTGAATAATAATAATAATATGATATACAAGACAAATAAACACATTTAGTATAATTATAATATGTATAAAATAATAATAATTTTATTTATCATATATTATTACACTAACTGTAGTTAATTAATGTGTATTAATATACGACAAATTATTTATTTAATAATGTTTGACTATACAACAACAAAAAATTAGATAAAAACATTTATACAAACTATAACAAAATAATTTAGCTATAGTTTAATAGTATTAATATTTATTTTTAATTATCTAATTATTGAAGTGATCCAGACTAACCATTTTAAAAAAAAAATTTTGTTTAAACTATAATTATATATTTTTTAAAAAATAATTTTGAAACTTTTATTATTAACAGAAAATAATTATTTTGTTTATAAATTATTTTTTTTAGCCAAACTAATAGCCAGACAATATTATCAATTAATCAATACTTTTAAATTAAATTAAAATAATAATAATTATTATTTAGTTTAATATTCGATGAATTCTATATTTATGATAATTAATGCCCACTTTTCTGGTAAAATATTTATCGCAATCATTGACATCACATTTAAATTGTTTAATCCCTGAATGGGTTCGTCGATGTCTTAATAGATTTGGTTTATTAGCAAATTGTTTGTAACAGTTGTCGTCGACATCACATCTAAATTGTTTTTCATCAATAGTATGTACTGTATGTCTATGTTTAAGTAAATCATCGAAACATTTAAATATTTTATAACATTTTTTTGAATTACATTTGAATTTCGGTTCAATTGAATGATCTCTTGATAGGTGTTGTCGTAAACAATGATTTGTTGTAAACGTTTTCAAACATTCATTGACTGAACAATGAAATTGTTTTTTCTTCAAATGTATAAATTTATGTTTATTTAATGTATTTTTATTTGAAAATATTTTATCGCAATATTCAACATTACATTTAAATAATGAATTTTGTTTTAAATGATTATTAATTTTATCAAATTTTTTCAAATTAGTTTTCCGTAATAATGTATTATTATTATTATTATTATTATTATTACAATTATCATAATCATAGTTATTGTTAACTAATTGTGTGATTGAAACAATACTTTTGTCGCAATTATTATTATTATTACAAACTTTTAAATGTTTTTGTTTTTTATGATTAATTAGAGATGATTCTGATTTAAAAGTTTTATTACAATTATTAGAATCACATTTGAATGCCTTATCAGATGAATGAATCAATTGATGTTGAATTAAATGTTTATTATGTTTACTATTAAACCGACATTTAGGCCAAAAGCACGTGAATCGCGTGCTATTGTTATCCACACGTGTGTTGTTGTTGTTGTTGATGTCATAACAGTCACTATAATCAGTGATTTTCATTGAAATGCAATCATTTGTTATAATATTTATTGCATTCAAGCGTTCAATCGTTTCAAACAAAATAACATTATTTTCAATCAAATTATTTATTTTATTATTATTAATACTATTGTATAATGATTTCAATTCATTTAAAAATTTCAACTTATTTTTAATATTCACAATATTTATTAACTCCATATTTATAATTATTGTTTGTAATACTAACTTAAATACACTAATATTTTGGATGTATTTATTGTATTTATTTTCAATATCAATAGTCAACTGTATTGTAGAGATATATGATTATAACTGACACTAAAAATCACTCTAACTATTAGTTTATATTGTAATTTGTAAAACACATGTGTTGTCCATATGTTTGATATTTTTAATTGTGTAAAACACAATTAATGGTATTAATTATTACTTAGATATCCACAACACATGTATAAATATGAGAGAGAGAGAGAGAGAGAGAGAGAGAGAGAGAGAGAGAGAGAGAGAGAGTGAGAGAGAGAGTGAGAGAGAGTGAGAGAGAGAGTGAGAGAGAGAGAGAGAGTGAGAGAGAGAGAGTRAGAGAGAGAGAGAGAGAGAGAGAGAGAGAGAGAGAGAGAGAGAGAGAGAGAGAGAGAGAGTGAGAGAGAGAGAGAGAGAGTGAGAGAGAGAGAGAGAGAGAGAGAGAGAGTGAGAGAGTGAGAGAGAGAGAGAGAGAGAGAGAGAGAAAGAGAGAAATAACAGCTAAAAATCAGCTAAAATTTATTTATTAATTTTTTCCTAATAAAGTAATTAATAAATATAAATAGTTATTAAAGTTATTAAAAAATTATTTTTTACATCTAAAAATCGATATATTTTTTTATTTAAAAATTAAATTATTAATTTTTGAATTAATCGAGTACTCGTGTTGTCTTCAATGTATGTTTTAAAAAATAATTATAAATACTATAAAACTATAGCTAAATTATTTTGTTACAGTTTTTAGTAATACTTTTTTTATATCTATTTATTTTTTTGTCAATCAATTTTTTTTAAATAGTTAATTGTTAAAAATTATAATAAAAATTATATTTAGTTAAACATTCAATAATCTATTGATAATAATAATAATTATTACTTAAAACTATCGAACTTTAGCTCAAACTATTTGATTACTGTTTTTAATTAATTAATTATAATTATAATTAAAAATTGTTTTATAAAATAACAAAAATCTTTAGGATTAATGATATAAAGGATATAAATGATAGAAAAATATTGTATTTATATTTAAATAAATATATATTATTTTTTATATAGTAATTGATAATAATGATAAACATTTAATTTTTACTATAAATATTTTCCACTGTTTTATTAATTTAATATTTGATATGAAATAAATTCACTGTAAAGTACTTAAAAATTATTTCAATTACTATAAAACTATGGATAAATTATATAATAATAGTTTTTTTTAAATGTATTTATCTTATATTATTTTAAATAAAATATTTACATTATATATATATATATTTAATTAAAAATAAAAAATATTATATTTATTATATTGTAATTGCATTTGTTATTGAATTGTTGATAATTTTTATTTATAAATAAATAATAATTAGTTAATAATTTTTTAATCATACTTATAATAATTTTATTTTAATTAAACAATTAAAATATTTTTTTTTAGAAATAAATTATTATTATTTTATAAGTTAATTACTAACAAATTAATTATTTTTACT